TGTTGTCTCGGATTCTCCAGCATCTGCAGTTCCTACTATCTCTGATTAAAATTTTCCCTTTTGTGTTCCATACATTGAGATAAAGGCCAGCATTCCAAAACATTTTTTTTGCTGATTCTTTTTACTGACGCACTAGCTTTCAATGATTTGTGTATGTACAGCAAGGTCTAAAACCTTCTCGAAAGCTTTTATGCTTTCGCCAAAAATAAAATATTCCAATTTTTCTTTCCACTTTGCTGCATTGAACTCCATCTGGCATAGTATTTCCCACTCAATTCATTTACTTCTGTGCCTTTTCTAATTTCTCACCCGTAACATTTGAATACACAACATTTTATACTTTAGCATCTATGTCATTCATATATCTGTGATATATCCAGTAAAGACAACACTCTCTTTGTAACTGCCCTGTCTCCTAATTAATTACACACCTGTGTCACAAGGTTACCTTCAATTTATACGCTTATTTCCAAATAATCTCTTTTACAAGTCTTTTGTTTCGAGCAACACACATAAACTGACTCCTATCCACCATGCTACTAACCTGGTTAAAAATGTTTATTATCAAGTGACAGGTTTTGGTAAGAACTAAAAATGAAAGTTTGCTGCTATAAAGTTCATTTCTCAATTTATTTGACTGCTATCCATTTCATGAAAAGAATATTATTGAGTAACATTAGTCATTGCATTAAAGAGAAACAGCAACAACCTGGGGCAACCCGCTTATTTGGTGTTGGTACAAAAACATCAAACATTTATGCTATGTACTAAATAAATTAGAAACATACAACATAGAATGCAGAAGCAGAAGTAGACCATGATCATGGTCATCATGATCATAGCTAATCGTCCAACTCAATACCTCTTCCAGCTTTCTCCCATATCCTTTCATCTCTTCTGTCCTAAGAAATATACATCTTATTTGAAAGTCTTCAGTGTTTTGGCCTTAACAGTTTCCTGTGGTAGAGAATTTTGCAGGCTCACCACTCTCTGGGTGAAGAAATTCTCATCCCTGTCCTAAAAGGCCTACCCTGTATCCTTAGACTTTGATAATTGCTCTAGACTCTCCAATCATTGGGAACATCCTTCCCGCATTTACCCTGTCTACTCCTGTTAGAATTTTATAAGTTTCTATATCATCCCCCCTCACTCTTCTAAACTCCAATGAATATAGTTCCAACGAAGTTAGTCTCTTCTCATCAGTTCTGCCATGCCAAGATTCAGACTAGCAAATCTCTGTTGCAATCCTTCCATAGACAGACCATCCTTGCTCAGATGAGGAGACCAAAATTGCACACAATACTACACCTTTCAGTGATTGCTGTACAAAGACACCCAAGTCTTGTCGCACCTTTCCTTTTCCCAACGTATCACCATTCGGAAAATAATCTGCCTTTCTGTTTTTGCTACCAAACTGGAAAACTCAAATTTATCCAAATTATATTTCATCTGCCATACATTTGGTCACTCAGTTTGTCCAAATCACTCTGAAGCATCTCTGTATCCTTCTCATAGCTCACTCACCCAGCTGTGTGTCATCTCCAAGTCTGCAGACATTACACTTAGTTCCCTCATCTAAATCATTAATATAACTTAAGCAATACTCAAAAGGTGCTGGAATTTTGTACAAAAACCCAAAATGTTTGAAACACTCAGCAGTGCACTCACTATGTCTAGAAAGAACAGATAGGTAATGGCTTTTACTTTGTGGTAGGAATAATACTAAGTTTATCAGCCCTCACCGTTATTAAAGGATGCATGAGACAACCGTTTATGATGTTCACATGTACACTGTCAAATGTGAAAATCAGGAAGCTGATGACCAAATTGTCCTGCTATTGAAACTGCCACAAGTGACAGAGCAGTGAAGTACATGTGGTGGTGTTTCTATGAATTTGTTGCCTTTATCCTTCTAGATAATAGAAGTCGTGCTTTTGGAAGGTGTTGTTGTAGGAGCCTTGGTGAGATGCTGCAGTGCATTCTGTAGATGGCACACATTGTTGCCACTGTGTGTTGGTGGTGAAGGATATTGAACATAGGAACAAGGAGTAGCTAATTCAGTGTCTCGCTCCTGCTCTGCTATTTAATAAGATCATGGTTAATCTGTTATAACCTTAAATCCATATTCATGTCTATCCCGATAGCCTTTTATCCCCTTCTTATCTAAAGTCTATGCATCTCTTCCCTAAAACCATTCAAATACTCTGCTTCCACTGCCTTTTCAGGTAAAGAGTTCCAAACACACTCAACCCTCTGAGAAAACAAATCACCTAACCCCTGGGTGACACCTTATTTTTAAATCATAAACCCCAGTTCTAATTCTCCCTTAACAGGAAACATTTTCTTCACGTCATATTTACCCTGTCAGGCCTCTCAAGATCTTGTATGTTTCGATCAATTTGACCCTCACTCTTCTAAACTCTAGTAGATACAAGTTAGCATGTTCAACCTTTCCTCAATAGACAACCCACACATTCCAGTCATTAGTCTGGTAAAACTTCTCTGAACTGCTTCCAACACATTTACATTCTTCCTTACATAAGGTGACCAATCTTGTACACAATTGTCAAAGCGGTGCCATGGCAATGCCCTGTATAACTGAAGCATAATTTCTCTACTTTTGTATTCAATACCCCTCAAGATAAATTCTATGAGCTTTCTGATAACTTTCCATACTTGCGTAGTAACCTTTTGTGATTCATATATGAGGACAACAAGATCCCTTTACATTTCAAATTTGCAAGTTCCCACCATTTAGATAATATGCTTCTTTTAATTCTTCTTGTCAAAATGGACAATTTCACATTTTCCCATAATAATATGCTGTTTGGCAGATCTTTATCCACTCTTTTAACCTATCTAACTTTTTGTAATCCCATGTCTTTTTCACAACTCACTTTCCTACCTGTTTATATGTCAGCAGCCACTTGCAAGTGATAGATAGGGTGCCGATCAAGTGGCTGCTTAATCCTCGAGGATATTGAATTTCTTGAGTGCTGCTGGAGCTGCAGTCATCCATGCACTCTGTCACACTCCTGACTTGTGCCTTAATGGACAGAATTTGTGGTGTCTGGAGGTGAGTTACTCCCCACAGAATTTGTAGCATCTTGATTTTTTTTTACTATGATCCAAGATGGCAGTAAAATAGCAGCACAGTGGAGGGCTCCTGCCAGAGCTCATCTGCTCCGTTCGCTTTTACTTTTCTTTCTTCTTTCACTGTTTTCTTATATTAATCTACTTACTTTCTGTGGAGAGCAAGTTGTGCAGTGTGGAGGAGTGTGACCCCAGCATTGGGAGATTGACCCATTGCAGGGAAAGTGAGACAAACATGGAGGCAAGAGAAATTCGCCGGTATCTACGACGTGTCGAGAGTAGGCAGCCTAAGGTCTCCTGGCATCTGTGGCAGCAGTAAGCACAGGAGAGATTGAACTTACCTTCTGGAGAGAGATCAGTTGTGGAGGCAACAGTGGTGACGGCATCATGGCTTCCTCGGGTCCAGAGTGGCTGGGTCCGGATAGGGACTTTGACAATCGCCTAGAGGTCAGGTGCATGGCAGTGGCTGGGGGCTGGATCAGGACTTTGATGGTTGAGGATCAAGGCCAATGCAGGAAGCGCAAGCCCTCATGGTGGTGAGGGAGGTCTGCAGCAGCGCTGAGAGCAAGCAGCCCGAGGTCTCCGTGTGAGGGGCCCAAAACAGGGAATGCAAGCTCAGCATGGCTGTATTTTAAAAAATGTTGAACTTTTAACTTTTATTTCTTTGTTTTTCTATTTGATACTAAGAAGGACCGTGATGTTTAATCTTTAACTTTATTTTTCTACTCCACACTAAGAGAGACTGTTTAGCTTTTAACTTTGTTTCTTTATTTCTCTACTTTATACCTAAGGTTTTGTACCAAGGTACCTTTGTACTTAAGATGGCACTGGGAATGGCGACATTGTACACTTTTTACTGTGCTTCTACACTTGCGTACACGTTACAATAAATTCTAATTCTAGTATGTTCTTGTAACCACATGTTTTTAAACAGCTAGTCCAGTTCAATTACTGGTCAATGGTCACCCCCAGAATGTTGACAGGGGATTTTCTGACAGTAATGCTATTGAACGTCAAGGGAAGTTAACGTTCCAGGTCAATAACCCTTCTTCAGAATTGGGGGTGGGATGGGATGGGAGATAAATGCAATAGAAGAGCAAGTGGAAGAGGCTGGAGCAGGAGAAGGAACAAAAGGGAAAGTCAATGCAAAACGACAGGGTCCAGGTCAGAATGTTTTTTGTTAAAGAATTCCTACAGTTTAGAAGCAAATCATTCGGCCCATCGAGTCCACACCGACCCACCCTTTACTGTATCTCTGCATTTCCCACCGTAGACACTATGGAATTAAATGAAATGTTTCACGAAGGGAGTAGTAATGAATATACCACAGAAACAAAAGATGTGTCTAAACAACGTGTAAGTGGCTGCACAGCAGCAGTTAAAATGGAATAAAGAGATAAAATTGAATCAACAAAAGAAAACGAAACCCTCTAACAGCGACAGTATTTTCGTTGTGTTTGATTTGTTGGCTTTAGGGCGGGGTTAGGTAGCTGAGACCGCTTAAGGCGGCGGGGCTCTGGGATCGGACTGTGCCACGGCAAAGGTCGGGGGGTGGTGTGACCTCGGAAGTAGTTGTTGGGAGTCTGTTGGTTCGGCAAGTGATGGATCCTTATCCCCGATCGTCCATCGAAGATGATTTCAACTACGGTACCAGTGTGGCGTCGGCCAGCGTCGACATCCGCATGGGTAAGGGCATCGCAACGGCACGGTTAGACATGGGTGGGGGGCGACGGCTGCTGGGGCCGACATTGCGGACGGGGACGGGGACGGGGACGGGGAGGGGTGTGGAGGAGACGGTATGGTGGTGAGGAAGAGAGAACATGGGGGGGGTGGGAGAGCTGACAGCGTAAGTAAGGGGACGGCAGAGAGCGTGTCCTAGAGATATACAGCACGGAAACAGACCCTTCAGTCCAACTCGCCCATGCCGACCAATTATCCTGAATTAATCTAGTCCCATTTGCCAGCATTTGGCTCATATCCCTCTAAACCCTTCCTATTCATATACCTATCCAGATGCCCTTTTAAATGTTGTAATTGTACCAGCCTTCACCACTTCCTCTGGCAGCTGGTTCCATACATGCACCATCCTCTGTGTGAAAAAGCTGCCCTTTAGGTCCCTTTTATATTTTTCCCCTCCCACCTTAAACCTATGCCCTCTAGTTTTTGACTCCCCCACCCCAGGCAAAATACCTTGTCTGTTTACCCTATCCATGCGCCTCATGATTTTATATACATCTACAAGACCACCACTCAGCCTCCGATGCTCCAGGGATACTAGGACCAGCTCCCTATAGCTCAAACCCTCCAACCCTGGCAACTTCCTTGTAAATCTTTTCTGAACCCTTCCAAGTTTCACAATATCCTTCCTATAGCAGGGAGACCAGAATTGCATGCAGTATTCCAAAAGTAGCCTAATTAATGCCCTGTACAGCTGCAACATGACCTGCCAATGATACTCAATGCACTAACCAATAAAGGCAAGCATACCAAATGTCGTCTTCACTATCCTGTCTACCTGGGACTTCCCTTTCAAGGAACTATGAACCTGCACTCCAAAGTCTCTTTGTTCAGCAATACTCCCCAGAACCTTACCATTAGGTATGTAAATCCTGCCCTGATTTGCCTTTCCAAAATGCAGCACCTCACATTTATCTAAATTAAATTCCATCTGCCACTCCTTGGCCCATCTGATTAAGATCCAGTTGTACTCTGAGGCAACCTTCTTCACTGTCCACTACACCTCCAATTTTGGTGTCGTCTGCAAATTAATCATACCTGCAATGTTCACATCCAAATCATTCATATAAATGATGAAAAGCAGTGGCCCTAGCACCGATCGTTTTGGCACACTGGTCACAGGCCTCCAGTCTGAAAAGCAACTCTCTGCCACCACCACTACCCTCTGTCTTCTTCTTTCGAGCCAGTACTGTTTCCAAATGGCTAGTTCTCCCTGTATTCCAATGTGATCTAACCTCACTAACCAGTCTACCGTGAGGAACCTTGTTCATCATCTTACTGAAGTACATGTAGATCATATCCACTGCTCTGCCCTCATCAATCCTCTTCATTACTACTTCCAAAAAACTCAAACAAGTTAGTGAAACATGATTTCCCACGCACAAAGCCATGTTGACTATCTCTAATCAGTTCTTGCCTTTCCAAACACATGTAAATGCTGTCTCTCAGGATTCCCTTCAGCAACTTGCCCACCGCTGATGTCAGGCTCACTTGTCTATAGTTCCTTGGCTTTTCCTTACCATCTTTCTTAAAAAGTGGCACCATGTCAGCTAACCTCCAGTCTTCCAGCACCTTGCCTGTGGCTATTGATGATGCAAATATCTCAGCAAGGAGCCCAGCAATCACTTCCCTAGCTTCCACAAAGTTCTAGGGTACACCTGATCAGGTCCTGGGGATTTATCCACCTTTGTGTTTGAAGACTTCCTCTTCTATAAAATGGATATTTTTAAAGATATCGCTATTTATTTCTCCACGTTCTCTATCTTCCATATACTTTTCCACAGTAAATACTGATGCAAAATATTCATTTAGAATCTCCCCCCAACTCCTGCAGTTCCATACATAGCGGCATTGCTGATCTTTCAGGGCCCCTTTTCTCTCCTTAGTTACCCATTTGTCCTTAATGTATTTGTAGAATCCCTTTGGTTCTCCTTAACTCTATTTGCCAAAATTATCTCCTGTCCCCTTTTTGCCCTCCTGATTTCCCTTTTCCCTCCTACTGCCTTTATACACTTGACATATGCTTCCTCCTTTTTCTCGACCAAAACCTCAATTTCTTTAGTAATCCAGTGTTCCCTCCACCTGCCAGCCTTGCCCTTCACCCTAACAGGAACTTGCTGTCTCTGAACTCTCATTATCTCATTTTTGAAGGCTTCCCATTTACCAGCCATTCCTTTACCTGCAAACATCTGTCCCCAATTAACTTTTGAAAGTTCTTGCCTAATACCATATAAATAATTGGCTTTCCTTCAGTTTAGAACGTTAACTTTTAGATAATGTGAGGGAAAAGAGAGTCAGAGAGGGGAGAGGGTTGGGGCGATGGGGGGTGAGAGGGGTGGGTAAGAGAGATAGTGGGGGAAGGAGAAAAGGAGAGGTGGGAAGGGAGAGAGGCAGCGAAGGAGAATTAGCTAGGGTGGGGTAAGCTCTGGGATGGTGGGGAAAAGAGGGTGAGGCTTCTTTTCCTGAATATGAGAATTTTGTAAAAACTTGTTTGTTTCTAAAAATCATTTCACAAATCCTTATTCCGTCTGAAATGGGATAGGGTGGAAGTTTTCTTGTTTTGAAAGAAAATAGGGACTTTCAAGTCTTAGAAATGTAATTTCAACTGATTCGACAGTGTATACAAAAATCTGGTGCTTCAAAGGCCATGGTATGATGGGGCTACAGCATCTGGGCAGCCTAAGCTGTGAAATATCTGACCAGGTGGGGGAACTTTGTGGAGAAAATAGTAATCGCAAGCTGTGAGCTATGTTTTCTTGGGATATTGTGGGGCCTGTGACTTGTTATGGTTGACCAATCGTTCTGAAAAGTGGCATGGGAGTGATGATTGGCTACAGATGATAGAAAAGGAAGATGCAGAAAGTTAACTCAAAGGGTTTTGTGATACAGTGGTAGTGTCCATACTTATGAACCAGGAGGCCCAGGTTCAAGTTCCACCTACTCCAAAGGTGGGTAATAGCATCTCTGAACAAGTTGATTAGAAAATATTTGGAAAGGGTAGCTCTTAATGACCAGAACATAATAGGTAAAAACAGAACTGTAGTTTGAAGAGATTAATAAATATGTCATTAGACTCAATGTTCCTTGTTTCATAAATGTTACCTCCTAGACGATGTTTTAATATCAGTTGTTTCCTTGTGATAGGATTTCTGCGGAAAGTATACACCATCTTGTCTGTCCAGATTATTCTTACTACTGTGACGTCTGCTGTGTTCATGTATAGTGATACAATCAAGAATGTCATTCACGGAAGGTAACTTGCATTTATTTTGTAACAAATTGTATATTGATGGATTAGGTCACCTTTCCCATAATTGTTTTGTTTTTATTGTGACCATTCCAGTAATTTAAGCTTATCCAAGTCCAGTTCTAATATAGAAATAGATTACAAATGTTCCCGTCAATACAGTGTGGAACTGGAGAACTCAGCAGGTCAGGTAGCATCAGAGGAGCAGGAGAGTCGATGTTTCAGGTCGGAACCCTTTATCAGGACTGCATTGACTCTGACTCCAGCATCTGCCATTCTTGCTATGTACAAATGTTCCTCTGTTGACAGTGTATAATGAACTTTTTTTAAAAAAAATTATTCATGGAATGTGGGTGTCAGTGGCAAGGCCAACATTTATTACCCATCCCTAACTTTCCAGAGGGCAGTTAAAAGTCAACCATGTTGTTGTGGGTCTGGAGTCACGTAGGCCAAACCAGGTAAGGACGGCAGTTTCCTTCCCTAAAAGACATCAGTGAACCGGGTGGGTTTTCCCGACAATTGACAATGGATTCATGGCCAACATTAGACTCTCAATTCCAGATTTTTGTGGATTCAAATTCCACTATTTGCCATGGAGGGGGGATTCGAACCTTGCTCCCCAGAACATTACAAGGGTCTCAGGAATAATAGTCTAGCAATAATACCCCGAGGCCATCATCTTCCCTAAATTTAAAATTTAATAAAAATATGTATTCTTTTTCCGTTTTATGTGCACTTCTAACTTTATTATCTTGCTCCCATTCTAGCCCTGCATTGGTGTTGATAGCATGCTTAGGATCTCTGGGTTTAATAATTGCTCTAGCGATTTACAGACATCAACATCCTATTAATCTGTATCTCCTATTTGCTTTTGTAAGTATTCAAATTAATTGAACTGAGATCATATACAAACTTGTTAACTAAATATCATTGAGTTAAATTGTTAAATGCTTTATTTTATGAGTTTCTTGTTCCTGTGCTAAAAGAAAGTTTGTCTAACTAGTTTTTCTTATTGTGAGAATCAATTGTGAAATGTTTGATCTAGAAATCTAGCCAAACACTAGTAAATATGCTCCTGTAGAGTAATTGTAAGTTAAGCTACTCTTTGTTGACTTCTGTAAATATTTTTAATATTCTCACGGAAAACTAAAATCTTGTTCTTTAAAAAAAACAGTTTACATAAATTTATAAGGTTACCAAATGAGAACAGGTAGGTCCTGGCTTCTATTCATAAAACCAACTGAATACAAGCATTGCATTAAGGATTCATTATTTCACAAATTTGTTATAATTCAGACATTTATTTTAATGTTCAAGATTGTATTATACTGAACTTTAAATGTTTATGTAATGATTTTACACTCTTGTGCTGTTGATAGTTCGGGCTATTTTGTAACTAATTTTTTTTTGAGGCTAAGAGCAATTTCTCCTATGAATTGAATCCTACATCCCTGTAGGTTTACCAGGCTGGTTTTAGACATTGCCCACAGTTATATTGTATCATTCACTGAAGATCACGAGATGTTTATCACATTGTTCCATCACTGAATAAATATACTATCACTTACGATTATGTGCCACTTGTTAGCTATGTATTTACCAGTTAATTGATCTACACAATTCAAATGGTACAACAAGGTGTGGAATCAATATAATACAGTAACAATAGCATTGGAATCTAACCTCCTAGAGTTAAAATCAGTTTTTTTTTACAAGATCTGGCAAGAGATAAAAATTCCACGTGGGATTGTTTGATGTTTCTAGCCAACATAAATCACATTTCAGTTGTGCAGTACTTACTGACTGCCAAAACTGACAACTATGGGATAATTTTCCAGTACTTTTTAATGCCTAAAATCCAAATCAAAATTGGCAACTGTCCTTCCTTGAAGACAATAGTAGCATTTAATGTATAAATTACTAACCAAAAGTTGTTTTTATGTCACCTGGGTTACACATGTCTTAATCCTTTGACTAATTACAATTCAGCTTGAATTTGGGGTCATTTCTATCCTGACTAATTTCAAATTGCTCAATCTAGTCAGGTCCCATAGATCATGTTTCCATCGAAATTTGTTGTGGAAAGATGAGCTATATATCTTCAATGTTTGCTGTCATTAACTGTATGGAGTTAAATCAGAAAATGCTGGAGAAATTCATGTCTGGCAGCATCTGTGAAGAGAGAAACAATTAACACTTTTGAGTCTGTTAAATTCTCTACATGCTGGTTGTCGGTTTTGATCAGACCTTTATGTCTTGGGTTTTTAGCAGGAGAGTTGCCCACTGTAGCTGCATGCGTTTTTTAAATATTTAATGAAAAAAGTAAATGTTTTCTCCACAGACCCTTCTGGAAGCTTCAACTGTGGCTGCTGCTGGTAAGGGCTTTTTCTCAATTTTTAGCTTTTGTTTACAGGAATATGTGGTTTAAATCACAATGTATTACAAGTAATGGGTACTTTCCTGCCGACATGTGCATATGAACAATCATGTAATCATCTTGGTTGCTTCAAGCTTTCTCCTTTGTTTTACTATTAGCCAAATTTGACTAGGGAAAGTATGGTATGTAAGTATTACGCAAAGTAAAATTTTGAGCAATTTTCCTGATTTGTAATTCCGTGGTGGAGAATCTTGGTATCAGTATGATTTCACATTTGATATACATGGTAATTCAAGTATGGAACCAAGTTGATCCTTTGTGATAAAATTGCTAATAGCCATAGACAAGTTATCCCACAGTACACTGATATACTCAACATAATAGATTCCATCAGTGTGGTATTTGTGTTTTTCCTGCCGTAGCACCAGATAACCTCACTGGAGAGAGTAATACAAGCCAGACAAAGGAACAACATATTTATTAATGCTCAGCTTACAAAGCTGAGCATTTTGGTTCTGCATATATCTTGACACTTTCTAAGTCTTGACTTATGAAGGTAGTGTGTGTCATTTAAATAAACTAGACACTAGTATGTGCACTGTTCCCAACAACTTGAATTTGAGACTGTAACATAAATCCATCATGATGTGTATGTTAGGCTGGAGTATATGTTGCCAATGCCAAGATGGCTGGCAAAGATGGCCACTTGCACATGGACAGATGGCAATATTAATGGTGCACCACTGCAGAGCCTGCTGGACACCCCCATTGCTGCTGGCCACTCCTTGTCATGCTGCACGTTGCTTGCTCTCCCTCCCAACCCTCTCTGTGTTTGCTTCCCTTGCAACAGAGCTTGCTGGCTGCTCCTGTTGCCTTGGTTGTCCCACAAGCCATCCTGTTGGCTGCATGCTTCGCTGCATGACTTGCCACTTCAGTCATGCAATGAGTAAGGCAGCAGGTAAGGCATAGGGGGCTCTTTCTGGCTGCACCACTTGGTCAGCAGTTTTCTAATTAATTTCAGAGGCACCTCTTAGATGGTCTAGCAGTGTAGTGCATCTTGTTTAAAACTACATACACAATCCAAGTATCCGATCCAAGGAAGAAACATACAGATTGGCCAAGAAGAAAAATAAATCTGAGGATTGAGAGCAGTTTGGAATTCAGCAAAGAGAGACCAAGGGATTGATTAAGAAGGGGAAAATAGAGTAAGCTTGCAGGGAAAATGAAGACTGACACTAAGAGTTTCTATAGGTACATGAAGAGAAAGAGATTGTTAAAGACAAACTTAGGTCCCCTACAGGCAGAGATGGGGGAATGTATAATAGGGGACAAAGAAATGGCTGAGGAACTGAATACATACTTTGGTTCTGTCTTCACAAAAGAGGACAGAAATCGGATACCAGAATTGTTGGAGGATGCAAGATTTAGTGAGGGGTAAGAACTGAGGGAGATTAATATTAGTAAAGAAATGGTGCTGGGAAAATTGTTGCGATTGAAGGCCGACAAATCCCGAGGGACTGATAATCTATGTCCCAAAGTACTGGAGCTACTTCCGTAAGAAATATTGGATGCATTAGTCATCTTCTAGGATTCTGTAGACTTTGGAAAAGTCCCTGCAGATTGGAGGGTGGCTAATGTCATTCCAATATTCAAAAAGGGAGGTAGAGCGAAAACAGGGAATTATAGACTGGTGAGCCTAACATCAGTAGTGGGGAAAATTCTCAAATTCATTGTCAAGGATTTTATAGCAGAGCATTTAGAAAGCAGCGGCATGATCAGACAGAGTCAGCATGGATTTATGAAGGGGAAATCATGCTTGACAAATCTGATGGAATTCTATGAGGATGTAACTAGTAGAGTTGACAAAGGGGAGCCAGTCAAAGTCCCACATAAGAGGTTAATGCCAAAGATTAAAGTGCATGGGTTTGGGGGAGATGTATTGAGATGTATAGGAAACTGATTGGCAGAGAGGAAACAAAGAGTAGGAATTAATGGGTCCTTTTCAAATTGGCAGGCAGTAACTAGTGGGGTGCCACAGGGATCAGTGCTGGGACCTCAGCTATTCACAATATATATTAATGATTTGGATGAGGGAACAGATTGTAACATCTCCAAGTTTGCAGATGATACCAAGTTGGGTGGGAGGGTGAACTGTGACGAGGATGCAGAGATCCTTCAGCATGATCTCAACCAGTTAGGTGAGTGGGCAAATCAATGGCAGATGCAGTAAAACTTGGATAAATTTCAGAAGCAAAAACAAGAAGCAGATTATTACCTGAATGGCTGTAAATTGGGAGAGGGGAGTGTGCAGCGGGACCTGGGTGTCCTTGTGCACCAGTCACTGAGGGTAAGCATGCAGGTGGTAAAGAAGGCAAATGGTATGTTGGCCTTCGTTGCGAGAGGATTTGAGTACAGGAGCACGAATGTGTTGTTGCAGTTATACAGGACCTTAGTGAGACCACACCTGGACTATTGTGTGCAATTCTGGCCTCCTTTTCTGAGGAAGAATGCTCTTGCTTTCAAGGGAGTGCAGCGAAGGTTTACCAGGCTGATTCCGGGGATGGCAGGTCTGACGTATGAGGAGAGGTTGACTAGGTTGGGATTGTTTTTGCTAGAGTTCAGACAAATGAGGTGGGGGGGATCGCATAGAGACTTATAAAATTCTAACAGGACTGGGCAGGGTAGATGCAGGGAGGATGTTCCTGATAGTGGGTGTGTCCAGAACCAGGGGTCACAGTATGAGGATTCAGGGTAAACAATTTAGGACAGAGATGAGGAAACGTTTCTTCACCCAAAGAGCGGTGAGCCTGTGGAAGTAGTTGATGCCAAAACATTGAATGTATTCAAGAGGTGACTAGATATAGCACTTGGGGCGAATGGGATCAAAGGTTCTGGGGAGAAAGCAGGAATAGGCTATTGGGTTGGACGATCAGCCATGATCATGAAGAATGGTAGAGCAGGCTCAAAGAAATGAATGGCTTCCTCCTGATCCTATTTTCTAAGTTTCTATGTCAATTCTGTCAGACCAAAATGGTACTGCAAAGCTGTGTTTTCACATGTGCTTTGTTGCTGTGCCACCTAGCAGTGGGATTAGAAATAAATGCAGCCATGTTCGAGCAATAACAGGAAAAGCAACGTAACTATTTTTGATTTTACAAATTGAAATCCAAGAACTAAGCTACCTTCCGTTCACCTGTATGAAATTGCTTGTAGAAATCCATTACTTTGTGTCTAATCATATAGGATATTGCAGTAAATCAAATGTTGCTTTAGAGATATATTGCAAACTGTCTCTGATCTTTGATTGACAGTGCTTTAAATCTGTCCTTTTTTTTCCATTTTTAGTCACTTTCTATGACTATTCAGTGGTTCTGCAAGCATTCATTCTGACAACAGCTGTATTTGTTGCATTGACTGTCTACACGTTTCAGTCAAAGAGGGATTTCAGTAAATATGGAGCAGGGTATGTACACTGGAAAAGAAGCTGGATATATTTTAAGTTCTACGTAATGTCTTTTTAGTTTTGGATACTATGATAACAAGTATTTTTAAGATGAATATTTTAGATGATGTACTTTTTAAATAACTGGAAATAAATTGCCACTATAAATCCTGCATTTTGACCTGAAGACAGCTGTTATGTAGTTCATTCTTGTCCTGATCCTCTGACCTGGCTAAATTCAGAAATTTTTGTTTAGCTTTCCTGATTGTGGCACTTCACTGCACTTGATGAACTCAAATGATAGGAACCATAATGTTTTGAGTGCTGGCTAACAAAGGTTATAACAATAAATGATCTATAATTACTTTAATGGCATATAAGTATAGAAACAGTATTATTTACAGTAAGTAAAATTAATTCAGGATAAGACATTAGCAGCAATGATGCCCTGCAGTTGCACACCCTGCTAAAATTTCAATCAAAAAATTACATCTCAGATTAAGTACCAAAGGACTACATGTGCCAAGGGAATAATTTCAGAAATTACATCTTTGGAAGGGAAAGTGAAGAATGCCAAATGTTATGCCCTGATTTATATTTACAGTAAGTTTCTGTTTAATAGTACATTATAACCAAAATCTATGGAGGTCTTTACTATAGTAGACGTGATGATTTATATTAACGTAAATTACTTTCACAGATAGTAGCATTTCAATGAATAATTCTTGTGTATTGTTGGATGTTGTGCCACAGAGTTCATGGCCATTAACAGTAGACTACATACAAGTATGTTAAGGAGACAAGAAATGTTAGTCCTGGTAAATACATTTTTGTAATGACCAAACTGGGGGGGGAAGTCATGTCACTCTGTGTTTCATTGTAGTAATTTCAAATTCAGTTCAGAAGCGAAACTACCCACTTCTTTTTTTAAAAAGGTATTCATTTATGGAATGTAGATGTTATTGGGTAGGCTAGCATTTGCTCTTAAAATGATTTGAGGATTTTAATCTGAGAGCAACACTTGTACAAAAAAATTGCACTTCTTTGATTTCATGCAACTCCAGTAATAGTTTGTGTACTTGTGTAACTTATTATAGGGGATTGACCAAAGCACAAAATAGCAATGCTACCAACATACCATATCTTAACAGTTTCCACAGACTTGATGTTGCTTAGTCTTAGTTGTCAGATAGAATTTATGATTAGAGTATATAGTAACTTGTCATCTTCAAAGGGTAATGATTAAACTGCAATTTTTTTTTGTCTTCTTCTCTTTAGTCTGTTTGCATGTTTGTGGATTTTGATCCTGGCTGGATTTCTAAGAGTAAGTATTAGGTGTTTCAAATTGTACCAAACTAATTGGTTTAAATCACAGTAGTTTAACCGTGGATTTCATGGTACATATATGGCTAGAAACATGGATATAGGTGAATCAGTTGGATTTTTATCAATTTTCTATGCACCTTTTTATAAATTATTTCATTCTTTTATGAGATTCATAAATGATTCTCTGCTGCCATACGTAGAGAAAAGCTTTAAAGCCCTGCTACAAAGCTATACTCATGTATCTGATGGAAGTAAGGCCCTGACAGAAGTCACAATCTTGGATCAGTAAGGTTTCCACGTAACTGGTATGATTTCCTCTGATGAAAATAACCCAGTATGATATCTAGTCATATAAGGAAGGAATAAACTTGGATTATTGACTACAATACGTCAAAGAGAATTATCTTTAATAATAGTGCGACAGCTAAAATGCGCACACTCCACCTGTATTAGACTTAATTTATAACCTGTTTGTATGACCTCTTAGTGTTAGAATATCAGTTATGGTCAAGGTGCTGTCAGACATATAGCCTAATACTTCTTTTCTGGGGCTATTCAAAATAAGCTAGATTTGTTTATGTATATCTTGAAACATTTACATGGTAGTATTATTGGGTCATTTTAATTTTGTTAAAAGGAAGGAAACTAATTGATTGAAACATAAGAGAATTCCTAACGTATTTGTCTCTTAATTTTCTTCAGCTGTTCTTCTTGAGCGACACAGTGGAGCTTGTATTTGCATCTGCAGGAGCTCTCCTCTTCTGTGGCTTTATCATCTATGATACACATGTTTTGATGCATAAGCTTTCACCTGAAGAATATGTACTGGCTTCAATTAACCTGTATTTGGATGTTATTAATCTATTCTTGCATATCCTTCGAATCCTGCAATCACTTAACAAGAAGTAATCACTAGGATTATTGTTGAAAAAAGATGTTAATATGTCTCTAACTAAAAATTAATGAAGGGGTGCATTTTGTGTATAGACTTGTTGATTTATTGTCTAACTTTATTCTTAATGATTATATTTGTATTCATTGTATGGTGTAGATAGTTTTAATTGATAATAGTCAATTTGTATAGTTTTTCCTTAAGGAAATTTGAGGGCACTTCTGGGTGAATAGTTTTGAAGAAAAATATTATAACTTGTGGGGAAACACCAATCCAGACCCAAAATCCAATATTTCTTTCAGCTTTGTTTGATTTGAATTTAGATTGCTTAAAATGTTTTTTTTTAATCTGAATTGAAATTTGATGCTAAACTGGGAGAAAGCAATTTTAAATGTGGCATGGATTCAGTGAAAGGCTTTTTTTGTCTGTTGTTTTCTATTGTAATTACTTAAATGTTTATAAGTTGAAATCCTATTCTGTAAAAAATCATTTCAGTACAAGTCATCCCTTTGAATAAAATCTGCAGTTCACATTTTATGTTTTAGTACTTATTTTAAAAAAGATACAATGATTTTATCTTGTACTCGGCAACAGTAATGAAATACCTCCTTTGTTTGGGGACCTACACATGTGAAGGCATGGCTGACAAAGGTGGAGTGATGTAAAGTGAATAAGTGTCCTGAGATGGAGAATCATGCAGTAGAGAAACATACAGAGGGACAAGGGATTTGAAAAGCAGAATGAGAAATGTTAAGTATTTTCAAAAAAGGTCAAAAATTGATCTTCGATATTGAGAACCACTCGGGTCTTTTTATCAGCCCCTACCCCACTCAGACTGTCAATTTGTGTTTGTTTTTAATATTGGACAAATTATTTATTCAGACCCCAAGGTGAGGTGCCCTGACTGTCATTTTCCTCAGATTAATAAAAAGGCACACTGGGGCACATAAGTAGACATTTTTTTTATTTACAGTATCTGATGTGGCTTACTTAAGTTAGGAAATGCCACATTTTTAATGCAACAATACCCACAAATTTATTTAAAGTAGATCACGAATGCATGCTGGTTCAATCCAGATTGGTTAGAAAATGGAACTGGTGATTGTTGTGAATGAAACTTTAACATAAATTTTAAGTAAATATATAAATGGGGAGAGGAATAAAGTTAAATCATCGAAAGCAGCTTATGTAGAATGTAAACATGAACAAAAACTGAAAGAACTGCAGATCCTGTAAATCAGGAACAAAAGCAGAAGTTGCAGGCAAAGTTTAGCAGGTCTGGCAGCATCTGTGAAGAAAAAAATCAGAGTTAACGTTTCGGGTCCGGTGACCCTTCCTCAGAACAGAATCTGACCCAGATTCGGGTCACCAGACCCGAAACATTAACTCTGATTTTTTTTTTTTTTCTTCACAGATGCTGCAAGACCTCCTGAGCTTTTCCAGCAACTTGTGTTTTTGTAAACATGAGTAGGTGAGTTGACCTAAATGGTCTGTTCAAGCTATATTTGCCACGATCCTCGTAAAGACCAATAACTTTAAAAAGAAAGTAGAACTTCCAATGAATGACGAAAGGGATGATGATGTTTCAAGTTTTCACTAATCTTGCAACAAACAACCTGAAAACACTGAATAAACACACTTTCAGGCTAATTATCCCTATTAACTTCTACGATGATCAAAAATAACCCAGCCACAGTTGTTTATTGTTCTGTCTCTTATATCGACTTTATTTGCTTCTCACAAAATTATTGTTTCTCTTTCCAGCCAGATAAACTTTACTGTTCAAACTGACTTTCAAGGTAAGGGATGAATTAAAGTCCCTCCCTGTAGCCATTTCTCGGTGAATCTTTCAACTTTTATTATAAACTTGACAAATTGCGTCTCTTCCATCTCAACATGAGCACCTAACTGTTACCTTGCTACCTCTATCTTTCAGTTGTATATTCACACACACACTCTCTCTCTCTCTGCTGTTTCTAATTTAATACTTGTCATTACTATCTTCTGTTTTCAATTTGACTTCAATGGTCCAAAGGAAAAGTACAACTATCAGTAGACCTGCAAACAAAACAAAGAAACCTGTGTCAGATAACTCCAGACACTTCTATATCTAAGTTAAAATCAAAATGTAACGACTTTAATTCACCTTTCCCTATTATTTGTGAATTTGCTCTTAAGTTTCAGAATTTAATTTTAAAATCCAAGGTCCAGCAACTTTCTCGTTGCAAATGTTGTGGATTGTCATACTGTCTCTCCTGCAGTTTTCCAAGCAAGACTACCATTCTATTCTATGCAATTGTCAGATTTATTTAATCTGATCATTAGGCCTTTGCAGGTTTACTTGTTGTATTTGTATTGCTGCAGCAAGTCATAAAACAAACCCCGTCCTCTGGAAATGGGTAAACATGATTCCTTTCAAACTCTTTCCCTCACGATGACAGCATCTTCCTATTACTTGAATCTAAGGAATTTCACATTGTTTTGTTTGCACTATGACTTTTGGAATTGCACTTTTATTGCAGGCACTGCACAAGGCATTAAAACAGTATCCTGGAAAATTAACTGAAAGTTGTTTACATGCCTAGTTTCAACTTTTAATTGAATAAATGCAAAAGGAACATGCGTATTTGTTTAGATCACTTACAATGAAACAGAACTTTCTTGGAAAATAACAAAACAAATTCATGGTAAATGCCATTAGCAGAGTAAAATCAAGATGTGAAGGAAGGATACTGAGTTGCAAATCATGCAGTAATGTGTGGTGATTTCTACAGAAAATATAACTTGCCATTAATCTCGCCATAAGTTTCAAGGAACTGCTGGATTTGTGCTAGAACTAAGTACAAAATTCTCTGTAGGAAAGATCTGGCCATGATTTCATGACATAAGGACCCTTTTAGTCACTGGATTTGAACCTGTATAAAACCATTTCACTCTGAAAGGCCCAGAAAGAGAAAAAAATAAGTCTTATGTCACTTCTGTAAGTTCCTTGAGGATTTTTTATTTTTCTTATAAGCGACTTCTTTCTTTTCCTCTTTTCTGTATCTAATTAGAAAACACAATTTAACTAGGTATTAATTTACCCAAGTTCCTCCTCTATTTATTGGTCTGTGTATTAGTTTTGTTAAGCTTGATTATTTGTCCCATCCTTCACTAATTCACCTGTCCACTATGTTCAATTCGCAATTCCAGTAATTTATATTGTGATTTTTTTTCAGGCTGAACAGTAAGGACAAAACATAAGTTGCAGAAGATGCTGTGAGGTGCCCAGCTCCTCTAAATTCAGCCCCGTTATTTTTGGTGAAATATGAAAGTTGCCATGCCACATTAAAGGAAAGTTCTACTATTAAGAGTACACATAGGGGTCAGAAAAGATTTACAATGATGTTGCCACAGTTGGAGGGTTTGAGCTATAGGAAGAGGGTGAATAGACTGGGGCTGAGGGATGACCTTATAGAGGTTTATAAAATCATGAGGAGCATGGATAGGATGAATAGCCAAGGTATTTTCCCTGGGGTGGGGGAGTCCAAAACTAGAGGCTATAGGTTTGAGGTGAGAGGGGAAAGATTTGAAAGAGACCTAGGCAACTTTTCATGCAGAGAGTGGTATGTGTGTGGAATTATCCCTCAATCAAAACGTGCAATCAAGACCATAAGATATAAGAGCAGAAATTAGGCATTCAGCCGCTTGTGTCTGCTCTGCCATCCAATCAAGTTCCTCAACCCCATTCTCCCACATTTTCCCCGTAACCCTTGATCCCCTTGATAATCAAGATCCTATCTATCTCAGTCTTAAATGTACTCAATGACCTGGCCTCCACAGCCTTCTGTGGCAGTGAATTCCAGAGATTCACCACTCTCTGGCTGAAGAAGTTTCTCCTTATCTCTGTTCTAACAGGTCTTCCTTTTACTATAAGGCTGTGCCCTCAGATCCTAGTCTCTCCTACAAATGAAAACATCTTCCCAACATCCACTTTGTCCAGGCCATTCAGTATTCTGTAAGTTTCAATTAGATCCCCCGTCATCCTTCTAAACTCCAATGAATATAGTCCCAGAGTCCTCAAACGTTCCTCATATGTTAAGCTTTTCATTCCTGGGACCATTCTTGTGAACCTCCTCTGAACCCGCTCCAGGGCCAGTACTTCCTTCCTGAGATATAGGGCCCAAAACTGCACACAATACTCCAAATGTGGCCTGACCAGAGCCTTATAAAGCCTCAGTAGTGCATCCCTGCTTTTATATTCAAGTCCTCTCAAAATAAGTGCCAACGTTGCGTTTGCCTTCCTGACTATTGACTCAACCTGCAAGTTTACCTTGAGAGAATCCTGGACTAGAACTCCCAAGTCTCTTTGCACTTCAGACTTCTGAATTTTCTCCCCATTTAGAAAATAGTCCATGCTTTTATTCTTACCAAAATGCATGACCTCACACTTTCCCACGTTGTACTCCATCTGCCACTTCTCTGCCCACTCTCCTAACCTGTCCAAATCCTTCTGCAGCCTCTCCACCTCCTCAATACTACCTGTCCCTCTACCTATCTTTGTATCATCTGCAAACTTAGCCAGAATGTCCTCAGTTCCTTCATCGAGATCATTAATGTATAAAGTGAAAAGTTGTGGTCCCAACACTGACCCTTGTGGAACACCACTCGTCACCACTGCCATCCTGAGAAAGACCCTTTTATCCCCACTGTCTGCTTTCTGCCAGACAGCCAATTTTCTATCCATGCTAGCACCTTGCCTCTACACCATGGACCCTTATCTTACTCAGCAGCATCCTGTGTGGCAACTTGCCAAAGACCTTCTTGAAGTCCAGGTAGATAACATCCATTGGCTCTCCTTGGTCTACCCTGCTCGTTACTTCCTCAAAGAATTCTAGCAGATTTGTCAGGCATGACCTCCCCTTGATGAAACCATGCTGACTTTACCCGATTTTACATAGACTTCCAAATAATCAGAAATCTCATCCTTTTCAATGGACTCTAAATTCTGATCCACGGCTGAGGCTAGGCTAATCGGCCTGTAATTTTCCGTCTTTTGCCTTACTTCCTTTTTAAACAGGGGTGTCACGTTAGCGATTTTCCCGTCCTCTGGGACTCTCCCTGACTCTAGTGATTCCTGAAAGATCACTACTAATGCTTCCACTATCTCTTCAGCTATATCCTTTAGAACTCTGGGGTGTAGTCCATCGGTCCAGGTGATTTATCCACCTTCAGGCCAATCAGTTTTACTAACACCTTTTCCTTGGTAATGGCCACCATACTCAGCTCTGCCCCTTGACTCTCTTGAATTTTTGGGAGATTACTCATGTCTTCCACATTGAAGACTGACGTGAAGTAATTATTCAGTTACAAAGCCATTTTCTTGTTTCCTTTATCTCCACCATCATTTTCCAGTGGTCCAAAGTCCACTTTTGCCTCTCTTTTGCCCTTTATATATCTAAAGAAACTCTTACAGTCTTCATTTATATTACTGGCTCGCTTACCCTCATACTTAATTTTCTCCCTCCTTATTTCTTTTTTTGTTGCCCTCTGTTGGTCTTTGTAAGCTTCCCAGTCCTCTGGTTTCCCACTGCCCTTCACCACATTATATGCTTTTTCTTTTGCTTTTATGCTATCCCTGACTTACTTAATCAGCCATGGTTGCCTCATCCTCCCTGTACCATGCTTCTTTTTCCTAGGGATTAATCAAGGAATAAAAGTTACAGTGTGAATGCAAATAACATTATTTAATTGAAAATTTAAAAATTGGCAACCTCTACTTTAAATGTACTCAAAAGATTAATCATTCACAATTTGCTGGGATAGAAAATTCCAAAGATTGGACCATCCGTTGAGTAAATAGATACAGTGTACAAAGATATGTGGATAAAGCAAGGACTTAGTACTAGCTAATGATGCTTATTTGAAGAGCCGTTGAGATACAATAATGAATGGCCTCCTTCAGCCATTAGATATTTCTATGATTCATAGAAATATGAACAAAATATAGTGTTAGGCTACAGAAAAGGTGCAGAGAAAGATCAACTCTAAGATATGAGAGGTCCATTCGTAAGTACGATAGCAGCGGGGAAGAAGCTATTTTTGAATCTGTTAGTACGTTTTCAAACTTTTATATCTTCTACCCGATAAAAGAGGATGGAAGAGAGTGTAACTGCGATGGGAGAGTCTTTGATTATGCTGGCTGCTTTCCAAAGGCAGCAGGAAGTGTAGATGGAATCAACAGAAGGAACGCTGATTTTCATGATGGACTGGGCTGTCTTCACAGTTCATAAAGCTGTACAGCATGGAAACAGATCTTTCAGTCCAACTTATCGATGCTGACTGAATATCCTAAATTAATCTAGTCCCATTTGCCAGCATTTGGCCCATATTCCTCCTAAACCCTTCCAATTATATACCCATCCAGATGCCTTTTAAATGTTATAATTGTACCAGCCTCCAACACTTCCTCTGGCAGCTGATTCCATACACGTACCACCCTCTGCGTGAAAAAGTTGTCTGGGTCGTTTTAAATCTTTCCCCTCTCACCTTAAACCTATGGCCTCTAGTTTTTGACTCCCCCACCCCAGGGAAAATACCTTGGCTATTCACCCTATCCATACTCCTCATGATTTTATAAACCTCTAAGAAAAATAGCCCCATCCTATTCAGGCAAGCATACCAAACACCTTCTTCACTAACTTGTCTACTTGGGACTCCACTTTCAAGGAACTATGAACCTGCACTCCAAGATCTCTTTGTTCAACACTCCAAGGTCTCTTTGTTCTCAGCAACACTCCCCAGGACTTTACCATTAACTGTGTAAGTCCTGCCCTGCTTTGCTTTTCCAAAATGCAACACAACACGTTTATCTAAATTAAACTCCATCTGCCACTCCTCGGCCCATTGGCCCATCTGACCAAGTTACTGTTGTACTCTGAGGTAACCTTCTTCGCTGTCCACTACACTTCTGTAATTTCTTGCAGTCTTGGGTACAGCAGTTGCCACACCAAGCTGTGATGCATCGGATAGGATGCTTTCTACGGTGCATCTATAAAAATTCATAAGAGTTTTTGCAGACGTTCCAAATTTCCTTAGGCTTCTGAGGAAGTAGAGATATTGGTGCGCTCTCTTGACTGGAACATTGACATGAATAGACCAGGATAGATCATATGTGATATTTACTCCCATGAATTTGAAGTTTTTGATCACCTCTACCTCAAAACCATTGATAGATAGGGACATGTCTTCTACTCAGGGATCCTCACAAGGATCTAGGGGAGGTGATGGCATAGTGGTATTGTCACTGAACTGTTAATCTAGAGACCCAGACAGCATTCTGGGGACCTGGGTTCAAATCCTGCTACGGCAGAGGATGGAATTGGAATTCAATAAATATCTGGAATTAAGAATCTAATGGTGACTATGACTCCATTGCTGATTATCAGGGGAAAAAAAAACATCTGGTTCACTAATGTCCTTTAAGGAAGGAAACTGCCATCCTTACCTGGTCTGGCCTATATGTTATTCCAGACCCACAGCAATGTGGTTGACTCTGAACTGCCCTCTGGGCAATTAGGGATGGGCAGTAAATGTTGCCTAGCCCTCATCCCATGAATGAATTTAAAAAAAAACGCAGCCTGGCGGGGCAAGAATGAAGATTGCTTCAAGCTATTCTGTAATTTCTGAAGAAGGGTCCTCTGATGCTGCTTGGCTTGCTGTGTTCATCCAGCTCTACACCTTGTTATTTCAGATTCTCCAGCATCGGCAGTTCCTACTATCTCTTTGTAATATTCTGCTTTTCCTCCGGTGTAACGAAGTTTAAGTATTAATGAACATTTATTAAGGTGGTTCCAGGCGTACCATATTAGGGACACACATTGCCCTGGCGTGTATCTGCGGGTCCTCTTCCAGTATCCCACAATCCTCCTGTATATTAGAGAGCTGGGAGGATGCTAGAAGGTCCGCCGGAGCCCTCCAATATCCCAGAATGCTCTAGTTTACTCGTGCTGGTCGAGGAGCTGGGAAACGTGGTAGTTGCTGTGAGTGATGTAAGTGAATACTTTATGCTGCCTTTCACTTTTAGCAGGGAAACTAATAACTGTGGAGTCGCAGCGAATTGTGAATGCAGTCAGTCCCGGATTATGAATTCCTGCCGCTACAAACAGGGGTTGATTTCAACGGTTGGCTCGCAGCCAGAAGCCGCCAGCTCCTTTCCTGGGAAAATATCCGCACCGCGGAGCTGACGAGGGAGCACAACTGTGCCTAGAACCCGCAAGTTTTGTGCTTTCAAATACGTTCTGTTTTAATTGTCATTCTGACAGAGTTTTTAATACCCCTTCTCCGCCCCCCCCCCCCAATCGTAGGAGTTCCTCGGGGTCGAGGATGACATTGTTTCCATTCTGTAACAAAAACAGAAGTTGCTGGAAAAGAACTGAGGAAGGGTCACCGGCCCCGAAACGTTAGCTCTGAGTTTTCTTCACAGATGCTGCCAGACCTGCTGAGCTTTTCTGGCAACTTCTGTTTTTGTTTCTGATTTACAGCATTCGCAGTTCTTTTGGGTTTTTTGTTTCCATTCTGGGTCAGTGGGTTCTTAAGAAGTTTTCCAGTCAAGTATCTTGATTGTTTGCTGAAAAAACAGTTTTTTTTAAAAACATATGTTTCAGTGAGGGATGCCTCAAGACCCAGACACTGCTCCACACGTTTGGCCAGTCTATATTTCTAGAGACTACCCCACACAGGGCCAGACTGTACCCTCCTCAAACCCTATCCCACTCAGCTGATCCTTGGCTCGATGCCCTACCCCAGTCACCCACTGAGGAAGCCTGACAGCTTAAGATCTTCGAGAGTAATTTTGCTGTTAAACACCTTGAGTGAATATAGAAATGTAAGGTTTTTCGAAATGTTGTCCTGATATGTATTGTACTCACTTAGGTTAGCTGTGATCTTCTTTCCAACTTAATAACAGTATTGCAATGTCCCACTGCTACTGAGGTAGTGAACAGAGTCTGGGTTCATCATGTTTTGAATTGATCAGTTATTTATTGGATCAGTTTGCTAACCTGTTGACAAAGTAAGTAGAGATTTAAGTGAGAAAAAACTTACCAACGAAGAAGTTGAATAGAAAAACTTAAAACTGAGTTAACAAAAGATCAGTGTGGACTAAGCTGTCCAGGGAAAGACTTTCGTGAAAGAAAACTGTGTAACTGGAAATCATTTTCATTTGTGTGTAGGATATGTTTTGCTTTGAGCTGTTAAAAAATGCTAAGTGTAAACGGTGCCTGAGTAATAAATTGAAAGGGACCTTTGCAGTTGTTCCTCCCAAAATATATACATTTAACTCCCCAAGAGCATCTATTGTCAAAGATGTTCATGCCACACATTGCAAGGTAATAAGCATCTCCTCATGCCATTCATTTACCATCACTGACTTTTGTACTATCAACAACACCTAGACTACCGCTGATGAGGAGTGTGTTTTGAATACTCTCCACGTGCCTGGATAAGTGCAGCTGCAACAGCATTCCAAAAGCTGAACGCCATCCAGGACAAAGCAACCTACTTGATTGACACCCCATCTACTGCCTTCAAAATTCATTGTCTCATGTTCACTACAGTGTATATCATTATGAGGTGCACCATGGTAACTCACCAAGGCTTCCTTGCCAGCACTTACAAACGCATAATCTGTACCACCCAGAGAAAGTGCAACAATGTATGTGTACACCACCACCTGCATGTTGTTCCTTCTCTGTCACTGAGTCAACTTCCTGAAATTACTTTCCTAAAAACACTGGATGTATCAAAAGGACTGCAATGGTTCAGGGTTCACCAGCACCATGACCACCTTGAGAACAGTTAGAGATGTACAGTAAATGCTGGCCTACCCACATCCAGCATTTTCCACATCCTACAAGCAAGTAAAATTTTAAGTCTGCTGCAGCAACAGTACAATATTAGGTATAGGCTCTTCAAATGTATTTAAGAGACTCTGCCCTTATGAGTCTAGTTCATGAACTAATAAAGTAGAGCCTTTGAAAATAGCATTTAAAGTGAAACAAATAATAAAAATAAGATGCAAGTCTAAGAAAATTTAATATTGTGATGGTGCATCATAGTTCTGTCTGGCTATCTTTTTTAATGTGAAAGTTGCTTTCTGCTATCTTGTGTAGTTTGTGCCAATTCAATATTAGAAATTAAAATTAATAGATGAGATATAAGGAACATTTATTTTGAAATACCTGTAGAAGTGTTAGGTATTTTTAAATATTCACAAATTGTAACATGTATAGTAGGTTTAGTTAAATCCTGGAATTGTTAGGTGGCAGCCTTTATTCGTTATGCTACTAATGAGGACTTATAGTGATCTGTGTTGGATTCACCTGAGATGGCTGGAGAATTACAGTTGGTCTCAGTGTACAGTTTCTTAAGGGGTGAGGAAATTAAGGATTCAGACCCCGTGATGGAGAGAAATGCTTATGAACACTGAGTGAAATGAGATTGAGCATGTCTGTCTTGCTGGCAATTGCCACTATAGTTCATACTGTACATTTATAACTGTAACAGTGCATCTAAAATTCATAGAGCTATGTTCCAAGTCGACAAAATTAAGCAAACATTGGAGGAGATAAAATTGAAAACTGAGTTTATTCATGAGTTCTGTTTTGTTCTGTTGTAATAAATCACAAACACAAAGTCTGCAATCAGTGTTAATATCAATGTAGATTTGTATTTTCATAGGACTATAAATGTGGAGAAATGTTCCCAAAGCTGCCTTAAAAAATAAAATCAAACTAAAATTGTAGAATATTGAAAAATGTTTAATGTTCTTCCCTCCCTTTTCTTGAAAAGGTAGACATGAGCTGAGAGAATATGATTCCAAATCACCCTTCAAGAAACTCAAATAGCCATTCTTAACCAAGAGATTTTGGATTGAACTTGGAGATGGTGAACCCAAACTGGCCCATTCCAGTAATTTTTACCATAGGGGTCATTGAATAGCAATCGATCAGGATCAAGAATCCTAGTTTGTTTTTCTTTTCTCTCTTTACTCAGTGATCAAATATGGAAATTTCTGGAAAACCTCAGCAGGTCTGGCAGCATCTGTTGAGAGAAATGAGACTTAACATTTCAGGTCCAGTGACCTTTCTTTAGAACTGTTTTTTCCAGCAATCTGCAGTTCTTTTAGTTTTTAGTTTTATGGAGTTTGGTATAGCTCAATACTAGCCAATGCATTACATTTACTCAATATGCCTTTCAGAGAATAAAATATTTATCTTTGCAGTTGGCATGCAAACTTTGCTTACATCAGTCTTTGTATAATTTATTTTCTAAAATGCAGAAGGAAAAATGGCAAAAAGCCTAAGAAGTAAATGGAAGCGGAAGATGCGGGCAGAAAAGAGAAAAAAAAACGCACCAAAGGAGCTTGCACGACTGAAAAGTATACTAGGAGCAGATGGCAGTGGTGACGTTACTATGAATGATGTTAAAGAAATTGCAACTGTGGTACCATGTGAGAAACTGAAACAGAACCCAGCTGCAAAAGAGGATGGTAATTTATTTTCTAAATATTGGGAAACTATTCAGTAATGTTCCATATAAGGTAGACTCAAATTCAAAGAAAAGATACATGAAGAAAGGCTGATTATCAGTACCAACGCTTTTGTAAATGCCTGCAAATTCTACAAGGCAGAAGAACTGAAGTAGAAGTTTGAGATTAAATGAGGTAATGACTTAGAATATAACATGCCTTAACCTCAACTGGGGGAAGATGAAGAAGAGGCTGTAAATATGAATTTAGAACTGAGAATTGTGACGTGACTTTTATCTTCTTTAAAATTTTTTCAGTGGCCATGTTTAATCTTTTATACAAAACTCAAATAGCCATTATCTGTTTACGTCATGATGACATTGAAACCAAATTTATAGCTTCTTCTCTCCATGCCCACATATATATTATAATGTCCACTGCATTGTCTCCCTGATTTGAGCTAACTCAGTACACAACATGGATTAATTATGGATTCTACCTAATTTGTATACAGCAGATAATTGTTATCTATAAGTGCTTAATTGGCAGAGGTGCATTAACTAATTATAGTCAAAGATTTATACAGCACGGAGACCTTTTGTTCCAACTTGTTCTTGCCAACCAGACATCCAAATCTGATCTAATCCCATTGGCTCACGTCCATCTAAACCATTCCTATTCATATATCCATTCCGATGCTTTTTACATGTAATTGTACCCGCCTCCACCACCTCTTCGAACAGCTCATTCCATGCACACACCCCTCTGTGAAAAAATTACCCCTCAAGTTCTTTGTATCTTCCCCTCTCACCTTAAACCAATGCCCTCTAGTTTTGGACTCCCCCACCCTAGGAAAAAGACGATGGCTATTCACTGTATCTATGCCCTTCGTGATTTTATAAATCTCTATAAAGTCACCCCTCAGCCTCTGACACTTCAGGAAAAAGAAGCCCCAGCCTATTCAGAGATAGTTGTAACTGCCGATGCTGGAGAATCTGAGATAACAAGGTGTAGAACTGGATGAACGGAGCCGGAAAGGTGACGTTTCGGGTCTGGACCCTTCTTCAGAAACCCGAAATGTCAGCTTTCCTGTTCCTCTGATGCTGCTTGGCCTGCTGTGTTCATCCAGCTCTACACCTTGTTATCCCAGCCTATTCAGCCTCTTCCCTTTAAATCAAACCCTTCAACCCTGGCAACATCCTTGTAAACCTTTTTCTGCACCCTCTCAAGTTTAACAACATCCTTCCTGTAGAAGGGTGACCAGAATTGTACGCAGTATTCCAAAACTGGCCTCACCAATGTCCTGTACAGCCACAACGTGACATCCCAACTCCTATACTTTTTGTTGTGACCAATGAAGACAAGCGTGACAAACACCTTCTTCACCACCCTG